AACATGAGCTCGTATCTGGAAGTTTGTACACGACTGCCGACATTTGCTACCTGTGCACAGTGTTCAGTGGGGCTCCACAGAGCACTGTGCTTTGCTCACAGGTGTGGGTCACAGGAATCTGAGCCACAGGAGCTCCTTGTGATGCCCTGAGGTTTGCCTGGAGCCATCACATGTCCTTCTGCTCTTTTACAGCCTGGCCTGTGTCCAGAGAAAGCAAGTTCTTCCCAAAGCTCAGCACCTGGGCAAGGCCAACAGAGCTGTACATTGGCTCCTTGTCAGGAAATCCTGGGAAACACTCCTAACCTTTATTTATTTTAATGTGTTTATCATGGGGTACCACTCCCTTTACCTAAGAATGGGGGATCTTAGACATTATCCACTACATTGAGTCATTCTTGAAAGGAAAGACTGCCTTACATTTGTCAACTTCACCCCGATTCATGTGCCATCCCTGACACCAGATGGGATCCTGGTGAAATGAAACAAAGCTTAGTAAGATTTCCAGCATCCAGACTGAAAAAAATCAATTAGAAATAAAACACTGTGAAACATTTAACACTTTGATTTCCTTAGTGTTTCTTGATTTCTTTTCACTAGATTCCTAAAATATATTGCAATCACTGGGGTCCAGAGCACTACCCAGGCTTCTAAGTGCTGGTCTCTGTTCAGAACCCAAAGTACAGCCCAGTTGGAGCTGATAAAAATGTTTATATTTTACACTACAACAAGATATGTGTTCTGTTGAGATTTTGGTCTTTGGTGGTTGACCAGCTTTCTAGGGACTCCCCACTTGACATGTTGCTTGCTCAGGCCATTTCTCAGCCCACAAACTCTCCTGTTCCCCATCCTCACAGCTGCTTCAGGGTCACATTGCTCTGAAGAAATTACAGCTGAAATAAGATGCATCAAGTGGATTGCAGGCTACAAGGCAGATAAGCTGCAACAAGGGGATAAATATGTACCAAGAATGCAGAAGGAAACAGAAAGAAAAATTACAGTGAAACCAAAATTGGATACCCATGAACGCTGCCCACAGCTCTGAAACTACAGTTAGTCATGGGGCTGTAACACACTCAGAAATGTTTTTGTTCAAGGTTTATCACCAGTGTTTTTCATATACTTTGTTTTAATCCTCATACTGCTCTCTTCCCTTAAGTAAGACATTTATTAGTTTTTAAGTCTTTGCCATTTCCTAATCTGCCTCTGCCCTTCCAGGGATCAGCTCAAAGGGAAAGCACCTTTCACCTGTGTCTCTCTTTCAAGAGTATTGCTGCCTCCTATGATTGCTGCCACTGCCAACAGGTCATAGATCAGGCCCAGTGACAAGAGAGCAAATTTGCTTTGGCACCCCTCATTTTTACATTTTAAACCCAAAATTTCCTGTCAGGTTTGACAGAACATGCTGCATCACAGGATGTTGCTGAAATAACCCATGAAGTTTAAAGTGTCTGGTTTGGAAAACTTCACCCAAAGACAGGTTTAACTTTGGATGGGAGATGTCAGGTGACACTGAGAGCTTCAGCATAAGGAAGTTATGAACCAAACCCAGACTGGATCACCCATCTGGGCCAGCCTGCCATGCTGTGAAAACTCAGTCTGGTTTTGCCAGACTAGAAAGTAAGCACACAAAGAGGTAACTGTGGCTCAAGAGTAAGTAAAAACTGTATTTTGTCTTTGGAATTAGGAACCAACACTGTTCTAATCACCTTTACATTAATTCCAAGTGTTCCATGGAATTAAACTTGGAAGGTTGCTGTACTGGATTTCTGACTGATTTTAAACCATTCTAAAGTTTAAAAATAAATAATGATTTAAGTATAAAAAAGATTTTAAAAAAGATTATTTCTGCTCCAGAAATAAGTTACAAATTATTTTGAAAAGAAAATGTTAACATTCAAACCCACTGTAAATGAACTGATAATGACTATTACTGCAGAAATAAGTTAATGTAGAGAGTTAGGACACAACAATTTTTACTGAAAGGTTTAAAAGAAGAAATCTGAGGCAGGAAATGCAAAGCAACCTGCTGCAGTAATGCAGTGAATGCAGAACCAGGATTATTGGATCTTGAGTTCTCTCTCGGTCATTTACTTCATCCCCTTGCAAGACAATCTGTTGCATTCCTGACTACAACAAGATTTAGTTGGAAGATGCACAGGCAAATATGTTATTTATGCAGAACTTCCAAAAGTATTTTTTTAAACTGATGATTAATTCACATACAATAATTTTAATTCCTGGGTTCCACAAGCTGTATGTTAACTTACTGAAAAGACACGAGCACATTGGCATTTATAGCATGGTGTAGGCAGTGCAGAGAAAAAGTTGGAGCTTTATACAGAATCCAGAGCAAGTACCATTCCTGGAATTTGAAAATTCATAGAAAGTTCTGAGTGAAGATGAGTAGAGTCATCATATTTGTCTCTGTCATTACCATTTAGGTCCCTGTTTCACACCTGTTGAAGTTTGGACACCTGGAAATGGCCACTTTTTTGTACCAGAGCTGTGCAAAGTGTTTAAAGTGTTTGCATATTAACAAAATGACAGTTAAGTGTCCTATTATTCCTCTTTAACATTGGACTGGTCCGTTAAGAAAATAGTAAATTAGTTTCTGTTTGGACTGTCAGTCAAAAACATTTGCTATTAAAATGAGCAAAAATATAGAGTATAAAATATCCATAAAATCTACATATGTGCATTCCACAAAGCTGCCCATTGTGAACACTGTTTATGTTTAACAATTTCCCAGCATCAAATAAAATATACAGAGAATTTTGACAGGAGAGTTGTGAATTGTAACAGGCTGCAGCTGAGCCTGGCTGAGTCTTGCCCCACAGAGCCTTTAAAGGGTCCAGGAAGCTCCTTCCCTTGCCAGGAAACCCTTTTGTACTGCAAAGCAGCTTCAGGAAAGGAAGATCAATACCAAGAAGCAATTGGTGAACTCCTGGCCCCCCACTGAAATCCTCATGGGTTTTTACCATTAGTGATTGTTGTATTCACTCATCACCCCCATGTCAGGCAGTCAGGGCTTAACTGATGGACTGGACAATAAATTATCAGCAAGCATCACCCACTGATGGCCTGTTTCCCACATTAAAGCAGAATTTGGCTGTGAGTTTGTAGGAATACTTAAAAAATAAACCCCTAGCTATATGGTTGTGAAGAAAACCTGAAAAATGAGATCAAATGCAATGTAGAGACAAGTCTGCAGGGAGCACAGAACAAAGTGACATGAGAACTTCCCTATTCTCATAGCGAGGGTTTAATCAGATAACGCTGATAATTTAAATACTAACATTGTTAATTATTTCCATGAGGACTTGTCCACCTGGGAAAGTTTTGCCGTTTACTTGAACTAGTCTTGTTATAGTAGGCTCCATTAAATTGTTTTAGGTCAGATTTGGTTTCCTTACAAGTAGTATAACCTAGAAGTTTGTTTTATATCATGGCATAATTTTATATTGCATTTAACCTGGCCTGTGCAGAAGTCTGGATTTCCCTGTTAAAACTTAGAGAAGTCAGGAAGGGAAGTTGAAAGGAAAACTTTTTGGTAATTACTTTTCTGATCAGTGATCCAAACTGATATACTCAGCAGCCACAGTGAAAATGAGAGGGGGAAAGTAGCCGAGCAGCCAGGAGGGCAGTGCTTGGAGTGCCAGCAGGAAGGGATTTACAGCCTGCAGTGAACTAACGTGAGCGTGTTGTAACTCTGAACCTGTAAAGGGAGATAAACTCAGGTGAGGTTTGAGTGGGGAAGCAAGAGCCACAGGATCTGAACTTCTTCAATTAATACATGGGTTATTAATTCAAGGCATGCTCAAGCCTTGAAAGATGGGAGACCACAGATCTCCCTAACACACCTTGACCATCCCCTTCATGGTGTATTTAATGATTTGTGAGGTGTTTTGTCACCCAACAGGCAGCTGTACTCGGTGGTTCAAGCTGAAGCCTCAATACAGCCCCACGTGTGCAGCTCAGGTACCCTCCATTCAGGAAGGACATTGGATCTGCTAGAGCGGCTCCACAGATAGGAAACGGAGCTGGGGCAGGGTCTGGAGCACAAGAATGGCAAGGAGCAGCTGAGGGAGCTGGGGCTGCTCAGCCTGGAGAAAAGGAGATTCAGGGGGCCCTTATCACTCTTTACAACCACCTGAAAGGAGGGTGTAGCCAGCTGTTCTCATTTCTAAAGCAATATGCGATAGGACAAGAAGTAGTCTTGAGCTGCACCAGGGGAAGTTTAGGTGGGACAGAGTGCGCGATTAGGGACTGGAATGGGCTGCCCAGGGTGGTGGAGGAGTCACCGTTCCTGGAAACGTTTAGAAAGACTGGACGTGGCACTCAGTGCGGGGCTGTAATTGCTATGCCGCTCTTCCGTCCCGGGCTGGCCTCGATGATCTCAGAGGTCTTTCCCAACCTAACTGAGCCCGTGATTCAGTGCGGGCCGCGCATTTCAGCGGTGCTACGAGGAGTCACCCACGTCCGCAAGAGACACGCACAGACCCCTATGAGAGATTCCTTCTCTCCCACTCCCCCTGTTTGTCCCGGCCAGGGGAACCAGCACCGACTCAACCGCCCCGCACGCAGCCGGGACAGCGAACACGGCCCGTACCCTGTGCTGTGCCGTGCCGTGCCCCGCCCCGCCCCGGCCGCCATTCCGCCCTCACGCCGCCTCCGCGCACGCGCCCCGCCCGCCCTGTCCACCGCGCACGCGCGCCGCCCTCCCGCCCCGCGCACGCGCGGGACGCGCCGCCCTGACCAACTAGCGGCGCGCGCCGCCCGCCCGCCCCCGCCGCGGAGGGAGGGCCCGAGGTCCGCCGCCGTCCCGGCATGCAGCGCGGCGGCGGCGACGGCGGTGGCGGTCGCCATGTCGTGCTAGTTTGTTGTTCTCCGGCGGCGGGAGCGGGGCCCGCCGGACGCTGAATCCGAGCCCTTCCCGGCCCCTCGCCCGCGTCCTTCGCCGCGGCACCGGCACCCGCCGCTCCGGCGGGCGGCACCGCGGCGCTGCCGCGACCCGCCGCCGCCCGGGCCGGCCGAAGAGCCATGGCTGCCGCGCTGGGAGGAGGCGCAGGTGGGTGCTGGGGCCGCGCCCGGGGGAGCGGGGCCGGCTCGGGGCGGCGCGGCCGGCGGGGTGAGGGCACCGCGGGCTCGGCGGGGCCCGCCCGGGGCGGAGGCGCTGCCGCTGCTGCCGCGGGCCCGGCTGGGGGCGGCGCGTCCCGCGTGGCCGGGGCCGGGGGCGCGGATCGGGGCTGCGGGAGCGGCTCTGGCACCGCGGGGTCCCGGCAGCGCCGCTCCGGCCCCGGGGCCGGCCATGGCGGGGAGCGGCGGCGGCCGCTCGGCGGGGCACGGCCCGCAGGGACAGCGGCCTCGGCGCGGGGCCTTCGGGGGACGTGGGTGGGTTTTAGTGAAAGACATTCACAGGATCGGTTAGGTTGGAAAACATCTCTGAGACCGCCCAGCCCAACCTATGGCCGAACACCGCCGTATCAGCTAAAGCACGGTACTGAGTGCCACGTCCACCTCTAGGGATGGCTGGTGTTTTTTCGCATAGATTTTACAGGTACAGGTGTGTGGCTTGAGTAACACACCTGTACCTGTAAAATCTATTGAGTCTTTACAGTGTAGTTTAATTTATTTCATAGACTATGCAGAAGTAGAGGATCTCGCTTGAGAAGTGTAAAATGAAGTCAGTGTTTGACTGCCAGACTCTCAGGTGTTTGTTCCACTGTGCTTCTGCATGAACACAGATACTTCTACAAGCAGCGTTTTAATAGACAGCTCTGTGGTTCTGATTAAGCAAACTTTGGAATGAGAATATTTGGTTGGGTGATTAAAAGAAAGTGTTTTAGAAGTCTCTCCAGAGTCTTCAGGAGTGATACATTTGAGAGGATTTGTGTGTTTCTGTACTTGCTTTCCTTAGGAGTAGAAGTTTTTGATAAAGACTGATCAGAGTGGTCAGTTGACCCCCTTGTCCTTGTCTGTACAAAAGTTTTTGGTGATTTAGTGTCTGTAAGTTGTTGTCTAGGAGGAGAGGGGTGGTTGGTTCAGTGCTCACTCTGCTGAGGGGTCTGACTGCTCCATGGTTCGTTTGGTGGGTAACAAGGCACATAACCATAATTACATTTTTACCCATAATTGCATTTTTATGGGAAGTCTTGCCATACATAAAGGTAAATATTACAAAGAAATTCCCAAATTTAGGAGCTGAATTCGGGAAGAAGGCTAGAAAGGACAGTACTACTGGTGAAACAGCAAATTGTTTAATACCTTGAACATTGTTATAATAGGATTAAATATACTGCAGTATTGGAGTTACTTTTCAAAAGTCTTAGTGCTAATTTCTGTGGTTCAGGTCTGTGGTTCCACTTGTGATGTGGAAGTAAGGTTGCCATTCGTGTGCTAGGTGGAAGTTTTTGTGGTATTGTGAGGATGGAGTAATTTAAGAAAGCTTCACTTGTGAAGCATTTTGTTTCTCTTGTTTAAAACTGCTTGAAGTTGAATGAACGTGCTTTCATGTTCTGCAGCAGGCAACCTTCAACAAAGTGGTGAAACTGCCATTTCAAAGCTGATTTTTGTTGTTGTGGTGTTCCATTTGTGTCCAAGGGTGAATTGGGATCCCTTTGTTTTAAGTGGGCACAAGCAGTTGTTTGTTCATCATTCACACTGTGCTCATCAGTAAATGGTGGCCACTTAAATGTGATCCCTGCCCCAAATAGAAGTGTGTGTCTGCTCTTGGTGCAACACTTGCTGAATGGAGGAACCCACAGGTCACACACACACTTATGTGGTCCATGTGACTGCTCAGGGACAATTCCTGGTTGAGGTTATTAAATACACTTTTAAAGCCCAGTCAAGAAAGCCTAGGACTTACAGAAATGGAATATGCAGCTGTTTTTAGGAGGGGACTGCTATCTAAAGTCAGTAGTGGTAGCATGTGAAAAAAGCTCTGAACTAAGTAGTTTTGGTAATTTAAAGTTTTAACTATAGAAATTAATGTTTGGGATTTAGTTTTTGAATTTTTGGGGTGAGGAAAAGACTTTAAAATATGGGCTTAACATATTTTAACCACCCAACTGCTTTCTTAAAAAAAAAAAGGCAGGCTAATGATTGGTAAAATAGTACAAAATAGGTATTAGGAATACAAATTAGTTTTAATTTGACATTGTAGCGTGATAGCTGACCAAATTGGATAGTTTTGGCTGTGAGGATGCAGATTAAAGTTTAAGTCTTCTGTAAGGGTGTGTTACAGGACTGAGAATGAAATGTGGAATGTCTGTGTTGGCTGAACATTTCAGTGTATTTGATGGAAGGAAGGTGACGTGTCTGTTGGACACCATGTATGGGTTCATTGCTCATTTATAGTTTTTAAAGCTTTGGGGAAATAACTGATGTGATTCTTCAGAATAAATCATTCACAAGTACTTTTGTGAGCAGATGTGTTGGTGCAGCAAAGCTTTCTGAGGATGAAGGTTAAGGCTCTTTTGGTGTTGGGTTTCACAAACTAGAAAGTTTTGAAGTGATGGTCTGTGAGGTCTCTGGGAGTAATTCACAGTTGCATAACAGTTTGCAAATTCTTTAGCTGATCAGCCTGATGCAGCCTGCTTCAAGTTGTAGAATGGCTGCATGTTGAAACATGAAAAGTTGAGGAGGGTGTGCTGGTGATGAGGGACCTTGAGGGCTCATAGTTGCTCATTGATAAGGGACTGGTTCCCAAACTTTGTTCCAATTTTACACACACAAACAGAACCAGAGGAAACACTGAATATTGAGTAACATAACCTTGAAGGGTGAGTACAGAGGATGGAGGCTTTCTCTTCACAAGGATCCATGAAGAGCAGGCAAGGGACAGTGGCTACAAATTGCACCAGGAGAGGCTTCACTTGCTACAAGAAAGACTCTTAACAGGGAGGTAATCACTCACTGGAAGAATTTCCTGAGGGTCATGATGGAACCTCTGTTACTGGAGGCTTTTGGGATATGTTTGGACAGGGTGCTGGATAAATTATCTCATCTAGGCTCCCTTTTTCATGGGAGACCAGGTGGTGTTGGAGGGTCCCTTCCAACCTGGACTGTTACATGGCTTAATGATGATAAAAGGTAACAACCATTTTGTATAAATGCTGACTTTTTTTCTTGATACTTACTGCAGTCAGTATGCACCTAGATATTAATCTCATTTAGGGAGAGGGTAAACAACAAACCTGTTCAAAACAAAACAAGGAGAATCTTGTCAGTCTACCACACTGCACTAAGGCAAAATTATTGTAAATTTTCTTCTCAGGTTAGTTCACTTCTGATGAACATCAGTGGTCAGGAAGACTTTGGGTGGAGATGTCTTGGGGTTGTGAGTCATGACATGGGATGAGGTGGAGGAGAAGTTGGAGAGGGTCCATTGCCAGATGTGTCCCTTCCTGCTGGAAGTCCTGCATGGAGAGAAGCAGAATGGCTGTTTCTTTACCTCCATGGTTGTCAGCAGCTTCATTTCATTTCAGCATGTCTCAGGTTGGCTCTTGCACTCCCAGCAGTGTCAGGGCTTTAAAAGCCTCTTGTGAAGCAGTTGATAAAAAGTGGAGCAAAGCTGATGCTGCTGGCACAGCCTGTGTGATGTGTGGTGCATTCTGTGTGTGGTGGATCTCTGCCCAAGGATGCAGAAGTTGTCCAGGGTGCCAGATTCAGTGGAACTTGTGCTTTGGGCTATTCTGCAGTGGCCTTCAGGGACTGGAAATAGATTCTGCATTTGTGTCTGGGTGATGCACACATTAAAACTCCTCCATGTCTTGGAGATCTAAAGAGTTTACAGTTCATGAAATAATGTGCTCAGGGTGTACCACGTGCACTTGTATATAGTATTGTACTAAATACTAGTGCCAAAAACCAGTGCTCCTTCAGTGTGCTTGAGGCAGGGAACTGTCCTCTAAACACAGCAATGTTTAATCTCTGCTTTTTTGACAAGGTCTCACTCTTCAGAATGTCTTCTCTTTTCAGATCTTCTGAAATAAGCTTAGTATCAGTTGTTTTTACAAAAGCCAGGCCAAACTATTTTGTATCAAATACTAAACCTCAGATTTTAGATCACATAGAATTTGTTGTCAGAATAAGTTAAGATGATGGCTTTCACAGGCTTGACCAAAAAACCTCCAAGTAAGTGATGTGATTCATCCTGTGTTATATTGTGCTGTGCTGCAGCCTCAGTTTTAACTATAATTTTGTTTGCTGTGAAATGTACTGGAGAGTTTCTGGAGAGTTGCAGTTTCTCATCAGTGTCCAAATCCATTTGGGAACCGAGCTCATGTGCATTTCATTGAAGCTCTCAGCTTTCCTTCACTGCTCAGCATTTGTAATACAAAGACTATGGCGCTTTTGGTTTTCCAAAGCAAATATATTTTCTAGTTCAATCAGACTTTGAAAGTGGTTTTTTTTGTGACTTGGTGGTTTTGGGTTTAGATGTAGTTTATTAATAAAAAAAAAAAAAAAGAAAAAAGGAAGAGGCCCTGTTTCTTTCAAGCATTGATTACAAAATTTCAATTCCAGACAGCATATCATAATTTATTCTGATCTTGCATACTGCTAATGACTTGCTTGGCATACAAACTCTAAAAAAAAAGTTGGTTATAAGAAGATACAAATAATTTATCTCCTGTAGAATTATTTTTTTGCTTTATGTCTTTGAGGAAGCTAAACTTTGTCTATAGAAATAATTTGGAAACCAAACATGAAATGCACTAATTGAGGAATGTGTCAGGCAGTTATTAGGTTGTTATACTTAGTCACTGAGTACTTAGGGCTTCTGTGAGTAATTGTTTACCAATAGCAAGGCTGTCTGGTGTCTGTCCCTGAACAGATAAACTGAACTGTTTGTGTTTGAGTGTGGGGTATTTGTGCATAATGTGGGAGTAAGGCTGAACGTGATTTTTGTGATGGTGTACAAGGGTTGATTATTTTGTAATAAGTGGGACTGGATTCGTAATGGGCTTCATGAAGTGCTGGGTTTGTGGCACAGACTTGGATTCACAAATTCCTGTTGACCTCCTGGTTTTTTTCCTGCCCGATGTTGTCAGGATTTGTTACCAG